ACATATGCTAGGATTATCATACCATACATTACCAAATCACCTACTGATCGCTAGACCTAGGACTGGATGGGAAAAGTGGAGAGGTGATCAGCCTATGACGTGCCACTGAGGGATGTAGGATATCTGTGTTAACGTAGCTTTTGTAAGTACGCTAAAACTCTTTGGGTGGGGTCCGAAAGATAATTCGAATCAGTATCTCGAGACGTTATCAGATATGGCCAAGAATGGGAATCAGTGGCAAACATGTTGCAGTTTTCTTCCTTCTTCCCGTTCTGACTGTAACATGTAGTAATGACTGGTGAATGATCTTGACAGTCATGCTTATTCACTTCCTAGATGACCTCCCTGTTTCCCTCATGCGTTGCTGTTTTATTGTATTTATGTGGCATATTTCTTGGTGCGCCTATTGCATGATAAGGAAAATGATAATTCAGTTAGTCACTACATTCTCCTAAATCTTTTCCATTGGTTGTATTCTTTTGATACAGAAAGCAAAAATTGTGATTTATAAACGACCAGTAAAGTTTAAGGCGTTATTGTTTGACTTTAAAGCTTACTGCTTGTGGAAAATGTCCGTTTAAGCACTAGAATAAATCGAAGATATCTTTTCAGCCATTTCATTCACTTTTATTGTTTAAAATTATTGTTTCCGTTTCATTTCATCCTTATTCAATTAAATAACTTTCGTGCCTTTGTTACTTTGTGGAATAAAATGTATGAAATTGCGACTGTTCATCTATATGAGAAAATCAAGTCTGTGCTTCGGAAGAAGAAAACTAAATAAATTTTCCAACTAGAAAAGAACAATCATCCTCAGAAAGCCTTGCTTTATATATAAACTGTTGTAGAAAGTGATAACTTACTGCCAGAAAAAAGTAAATACCAATGGGATTTTAGAGTTCCATCTAGAATGACTGGTGGAAGAAGACTAACATTATTAAGCTCTTAACCTGACGAGGAGGGAAATCTGCTCAAATTTAAACTTTTTGAGAGTCTCTGCAGTGACCACAAACAAAGGTAAGTGATAAAAAAGAGAGGAAAGGCATTTGCACTTAGGAATATCTATCGGTTATTTTAGTGCATAGAGGATGTAGGTCAAAAAAATCTGTGGTCAGTAAGGCTGTCTTCGAGAAAGACGAAACCTTAATAATTTCTCAGAAGGGAGGGTTGGAATACTGGAGACAGCGCTTCCTGGAGCACTTCAGCTGGTTCACAACTACACTGCACCCATGCACCTGAACGGCATGTAGACATTGGTCCTTCAACAGTCGACAAGGCTGGAAAATCTGTCTCTAGTCTAAAGCAAGGCAAATTAGCAAGCCATTATGGTATGACTCCAGAGGTATTTGAGATGGCGATGAATAACTATTTACCAGACTAACCAATGTATTAACTGGTGTATAGAACCCCAAGACAGTTTCAGTGGTCTTCTGGTCACCCCAGTTTTTTTAAGGAGTAGAATCTTCCTGTGGGTAATCTCGAGTAATACACTATTTGAGATCCTGGGTTCCTGGCTTCTGCGAAGTCTAAGTATGGCTTGGAAGAAACACACCTGGACAAACCAGATGGGCCTTAAGTATAGATCGGGACGTCTCAATCATACCTTCACTCCTCCACAGATTTTACAGCACAGATACACAAACACGATATATAACTATGTTGACTGATTGGTATTATCACAGGATTAAGGGTATTTGGACAAAGTTTACTGTTAAATAATGGAGATTTCTGACTCAGGTGGGTAATTTTTCGTGTTCTTATCTTAAAACATCCAGTCTTGCGATCAGAAGCACACTAAGAAGCTTATTGTAATAATTAAGGCACCCTATCTCAGACATACATTTAATAGCTTATGGACAGTCTTCACCTTAAGTGACGACGAAAGCCGCTCACTGTCATTTTCCGTGTTCAATTTCACTACAGATTTACTGATGGATATGACTCTGACTGACTATCACGCTTCATGGATCGACTTTTTAGGAGGACGAGGTCTAGCTGATTCAGAGTATTCAGATGATATGGTCCGTCAAGGTGTAGATGCTAGGAAAATTCAGCTTTCTAAACATCTTGAACAAACGTTTCAGCATATCTGGCACACAGTTTGCCCCTACGAAATGTAAGACAATGCTGAAAGACAAGTCAGTGCCAACTCCTAGTTTAAGGTTACAGAATGAAATGGCTGAACGTGTCGACCTCTTGATATATTTGGAGAATTGCATCCACCGCAATGAATTGATTGCGGACAGAATCCCACAACGGACACAACAGCAGCAGCTCTCTCCTTCCTCTTGATGGCCAATTAGTTACTTTGTCAGTTAGCGAATGAAATCCTTGAAAAGATATATTTGCTTAACTTTCTGTTTTCTCTAAAAGTTTACTAGAAGCATAAAACATATTTTAATCTATATTGTCGTTCTTGAACTGTGACAACAAATCTGTTTTTTATACAATAGCATATGTGCTCTATACACGTAGCATTTAATAATATGGAGTGACAAAGAATATGCAACTAGGAGAATTGAAATTATGGTGTAAAGCGCCATAACTTTAACTTCCTAAAGCCTTTGAGGCAAATAATCTACGAGGAGAATTCACTCACCGATAAAGTGTTATACAAGCAATCACTAAGTTAGGAAAAAGTAAAAGATTTTACAGACAAGCAGAATAAAGTGGAGGTTGATTACGAAATCTTTATCTGTTGTATGAAGCTGAAATGCTCTAATGCTGTGAAGACTACTGACAAAAATATGAATCAGTGAACTACAACTATGAAATGGATAATAGTGAAATATTGTTTTAGTTTATTGTATCTATACTGAACAGACATAAACTATGTAGGGCTGTTTAGATAGTCATCATTTTGTTTTCAGAAATTATTAGATGGGTGTAAAATCATGTCAGAATAATTTATATGGCATAGTTTGTTGTGGTAGTTTACTGACTACAGTTTTTTTTTTCATTCCTTGGGTTCCGAATGGAATACAGGAAGGCATGAAGCGATAGTGTTGGTTTTACGGAATGGGGTCACCAGATTCACTCTTATCCTGGCTTACTGCAGGCTAGGCGAGGAGTGCGTCGGTCAGAAATAAAACTCGAACCTCCCAGCGGTCGGAAAACATTTTAATTCTGGTCTACCTCATCGATTACTATATGTGTGACATCATGAATTACTACTTCATCACAGTGTTTTGACTGAATTCTTGTAAAGCACTGGTATAGCAGTTTCGGGGACCAAAAGTGTTCTGTCAAATAGAATAAATCAGATTCTAGTTTAAAATTCTATTAAATTCACTTAGAAAGTCAACAGACCAGTCAACACTGTTCAGAACAACCCACATGTGTAGAGAAGTGGGTGTAAATACTAACTTTTTAGCGTGAATACACCGTTACAATGTAAAAATAGTCGAAAATCATTGACAGTTATGTATGCCAAATTCGCCTCTATCGAAGTGTGCACTGCAGCTTCTCTATTTATGGGAATATAATTCTTTATCATTCATTTTTCACATTTTATTCGGATTCTTGTCAAGCATTAGTTATATTTCATATCTTAATGTTTTCTTCTTTTTCTCCAATGATAATTCGCAAACCTCTAACCACTTGGGTTAATTTGTCGAAAAAGGTGAAGAGTGAACTACTAAAGAGTTTACACAACTACCATGAATGGTAATTGTCGATGAAAGTCAAACATATGTAGAAGGTGGTCATGCCTAAGAGATTTTAAATGATCACTCAGAGAGATTTCGCACGAAAATTGGGGTGGGGGGGGGCAGTGGGCTGAATCTGTCCAAAAGCTAGAGAGATATATGGAAGACAAAACTAGGAATGAGCTGAATGCTTCGAAAAAAAGTTTAGCTGGTATCAAGATTAGTTTTAGTTAACTCATAGTACATAAATGGCATGGTTACATGAAGTGAAGACTTTGACAGCATGCAAATCTTGAGAACACTTTGATCCACATTTTCACAATACTTGGGATACGTTTCTCATCCCATAAATAAAGACTGATACCTCTGAACTAGTGTGCATCCACGTCCCGCCAGAAGGTAAGAGATAAAGCAACTAAGTGTCTTGACCACTTCATCACTTCACTTGAGAGATCAAGTCAGTCTTGATGGGTTAGCCACTGGTGAAATATCAGTGGCTATTCAAGAGGTTATTGTAGTTACGGCCGAATTCCTTTATTTGTTGTACTAGCAAGATATTTGTCAGCATATAAATAGCCAGAGATACTTAGCAGCAATACACGATATTTTGTACAAGCGATTCAAGATCTGACCATTAAATACAGATACCTTATGATCATGTTTATCTGCATAGTATTACTCATGTCTGTTAGGAAGACTACGTAGCTTTAACGGCTATTTTTTATGTTTCAGATGACACTGTCAATACGCATAGGACTTCGCAAACTAGAAATTTGAATTCCTTGGTACTTGGAAGATGAGGTTCGTAATGAATTTATTATTTTTTTTAAAATAAGCTTAGTACTCACTTTAAATGCGTGAATGGTGTTAATCGTTCTTTCTTTTCCATCTTTTCTTTCTTTCCAAAGCATTCCCATTTTAGTTAGCTGATGTCATAAAACTGATTTTATTATTATTATTATTCTATCTTCTGAACTGTTTCTGCCTATGAATTAAAACTTGCTGCATGACTCCTTTGTCATCACTACCATCATTATCATCTCCTTACACTTGTTCTTTAATTACATTCCTTCCTGATGTTTAAATTGTCCGTGATAATCAAAACCCTATCCTTACCTAGACAAGTAATGCATTACCGATTTTCAGTATATTCTCCGGTATATTTCACTATTTGCTCTGCTCATATACTGTCTTATTATTTTATGGTAGACTGTGCAATTTATCTAATTGTTTTGGTAATAATAATAAGATAATTTTAGTCACCTGACTAAATGATCAATAGATGGTATAATTACAAATGACTTGGTAATTTACATGAAAGATTTTCTAACAGTGTAGTACTTACCCACGTAAATGTCTCGTTTCACTAAAACGATTGATATAATAGCTCGCTTTAAACATCTAAAGAGTCCTAATATACCATTTTGCGTAAAAGCATGCTGTGATGAACTGTTGGAGCGTGTAAAAATAGGCCAATTGCGTGTCCTGCCCAATTCTATCACAAGTTTATTTTCAAGTGCCTCAGAAGCAAGAAAGGTGGAATTTACTAAAATTGAAGAGACTTTAGAAGTATTAATGATGCATAAAAAGCCAGGAACTGTCAGTGAAGACAACAATTATAGAATATATGGGTGCGGTCAGCTGCCAACGCATATGGTGTTTGCTGTGCTTTGGGAATTTCTACAAAGATCTCAGGACACTTTGGCAATATCTCTAGTATATCCTACAAACGGTTGGACAATATTAGGCCCACCATATTTCAATGACTTTGAAGTAATCGACGACACACGATATTTTAAAGATGTTAGTCATATGTTGACTACAGTTCAACACAAATTAGCGCTTCGCAAAGATATATTTTGTTACATAATGATGTTCTTAATGACTATGATTGAAAATGCAGTCGAAAATCATCGTGACAAACCATCTATCGGCACCTTGGTTCGGTATCAATTGGCGTATTTATTTGGACCACTGTTGTTAACATTAAAATGCGATACATGTGATAGTCATTTCGAGGCTACTTCAAACACATGTACTGTGTGCTGTATTATTACTGATTTGTTACAAGCTCCCTATATCGTTGACATAATGGATAGACTGTTGCGTTATGTACCAAAAGAATATTGGAACAATGCTCTGATAAATCCTCGAAGTATCATATCTACTGCACAAGAACCTGAGCAGCTTCATGAAGAGATCGTAAATCACTTTCATCGCTCAGTGCAATTCCAAAGTACCACTTTGCCAGATACTGTACGCTATTTATTTAGGAGTTCCTCAGTGAATCAGTCTGTTTTAACAAGTAAAAGGAAGACAGTTACTGATAGTGAAATAGCTCCAAAAGAAGAAAAATCTACTCTAGATAAACCTCAGTTATTCACTTCTGTTGATGAATCAGAAGTACACATTGACGAAATGAAAAGTCGAGCGAAATCGGATAAACTAAAAACTATAGATGAACACCCAGTAGTTAGCAAACGGAGAAATAAATCAGAACCTGGATCAAAGAAAATGAAACAAAGTTTAAATAAGGGAGGAAGAATGGTACGTAGTACTTCAACCAGACGACGTTCATCAGTTCGAATAAGTGGTGGAGGTAGCAAAAAACAGACACATGAAGTGAAGTCTAAGAACAAGCCAAATAAAAAAACTAAAGGCAAACGAAAAAGACCACGGTCATCATATAAGGCGAAAACAGACTCACGAGTCACGTACTGAACAGGCTTCTTTATAAACTCGCAGCTTGTCTACACATATATCCATTAATTACTCTCGGTATGTAATACATGATAAAAAATAAAATGTTCAATAAAAGCCCGATAAAATCGATACCAAAGTTGTTTGGGTTGAAAATTCAGGAACTGCTTAATGGTAGATGAACTACTCAATATTTTGTTGGCGAAGTCAGGGAGGCACCCGATCTTCACACAACTACTATCTGAAGTTAGCCCTCTTTCATTGCTGTTGAAGACTTACTCTTGACTGCCTTTCTGTTCCTTCCAGGTCAAATGGTTTGTTGACCAGAGAAACAAATGCCTGAAAGTAATTAGATAAGCACTCCTCTGCAAGGCATAAGTTTTCACATATTTGGTGGGGTAGACTTCTAGATTGAATAAAGACCGAAGTGATACAGCGTGTTCACCACTTCACTTATTTGGAAACCTGCATCAAACCTATTGAACTGATTGCTGACTAAATTTCAGCATAGATGAAAAGAATCCATGTGACAAATCCGTAATATTTGGTAATAGTTAGCTCTGTCCTTCTTTATGGCTGACTGTCAGACATGGCCATTGACAGTCGCAGATATGATGAAGAGACTAGCTGTCTTTGAGCACAGAGGTTTGCCTTCTATCTCTCGTGTTAGTTAAGAGTGGTATAATATGGTGACACATATTGAGGTTAGTGCTAGGTGAGGAAGGGAAGTCGATAGATGAAGTTATCAGTCAAGCTGCATCGATTGAAACGGCTAGGACACGTGTTGCGCATGACGAGCCACCTCACCGCCTGCCTTCCTCCACGAGCAATGTCACCTGACACAGGATTAGGTTGGAAAGGAGTTCTCGGTGGTCAAACCAAAACCTGGCAACAATCCATGCAGTCTTTCACTGTTGGTGTTTCAGTCACGTAGCCAGGTATAGACTGACTGGTTGGGGACCTCGGGATGATAAGTACCAATGTCTGCAGACTATTGGAGCTATGGCTGGAAATCCTTCTCAATGGCTCAGATGCATTCACGCTTTGTCATCTTGATGTTTTTGCCGTTCGTTTCGACTGATTATAGTTACTTTGAAATTTTTCTTTTCTATTAGGGTACCACTACGTGTAGCTGGCAAGACCCAAATAGAACAAAACACTCATACTTGATTCCATTACTACATCAAATATTGCTGGTTGTTCTGAAGCAGATTTAGGTAGATATTTAGATGAGGGTGTATTCGGAAGTGTGGTTATCAGGAGCAGAGTTCCACATAATGCAATAGCTAACAGCATCAATGAAAATTTGAAAGTTGCAGTCCACTGATATTCATGAAGCCGATCACTTCATTCCAGAGTACACCTATGGGTAATACTCATACTGGATTAATGAGTGCTGGACTTCATTTCTTCATACTCTACAAGTTGATATACACAAAGTATTAATTAAATAATGGAGAATTTTTTAGCTTATGTGCTGTGCTTTCTCCCAGTCAGTGCTGAAATGAATGTGAAATGGATTTCTGTAATCCTGGATGGTTATCTAACTCCGTTTTTGGTGGTGACCAGGGCTGACTAGGTGGAGAAGTCGTACTGCTGGTGAATGGGGACGTAATAGATCTAAGGCGCTTCCGTCAGACAATCAGCGAACCGACTACACTGCCTCTCTGCTCTAGAAAGTAAGGTTGGCAAAGGTCCACCTCGGAAATTATACATTTCAATTTACACTGCACCGGTCAGTAGACGGTAGTGGGATCGTCATATGGATATAACTTAAAAATCCACCTCATACTGATTGCCAATGATACTTTCTTGAGATGAAGTTATTTTGCATTAATTAGTTGGTGACATTCAGAAACACTGTTTAGTTTCCTAAAGGTAACCTGGGACTCTTTGTTTCGCGATAGTCCAGATGAGAAATTAATTGGAAATACCCGAAGTTTCTTACTAAAAAAAGGAGACATTATTTCATAATGTATGAAGTTCCAAATACAGCTCATCTCACATAGTCTAATCAAGCTGACTCCACAACTTTGAGGCATGGCTAAGTTTTCTGAAACAGATTATGAGTCATTTCTACTACAGTTTCCCTGTGTTAATTCCATTGGAGAAAATTCTCTTCCAAAGCATTTTACAAGCCATTTGAGTTAGTTTTCTCATTTCATACTGATTAGTTATAAGGGAGTAAACAATGTCATGTATTTTGATTAGACACTAGGTAGCAGCCAGCGTCATGTGTCTAATCTTTTGTTTGGTGCAGACTGAATTCTACCAGCCAAATTTGCAATGTGGCCACCATGCTAGGCGGATCGCCATCACGGTGCACTTTGAATTGTTGTTAGATAGTTGGAGGCATTTGATTCTTAGTTTGTATCAAAATGAACCTAGCAAAGAAGTATACACCTTCCTACACAACTAAAACCAACAGTCATGTTTTGGTCTAGCCTCCTTTAACTCTTTTCCGACCTAATCCTATAAAACTAACATTGTTTTTTGAGGAAAGTAACAGCTCAGCATGTGTAACGCATGTCTTGGCCATCTCAAATGACGTAATTTTACAAGCTAATTGACTTATGTCTCTCCCTACATAACCATCTGCTCCAGACCTATTTACTGCTGATCATACTACCCACCCTTATAGAAGAAACTGAAAGTAAAGTCTTAAGGTCAAAAGATGACGATTATCTCATCTCTTCCACTTTCAGTAGCTTTATCTCGCAGCTGTATAGCATTATACGAAGAATTGCTCTACAAGACATATATCCTTTCATGGACAGCCAGAAATCACATCTGCTAAATTTCACTAGCATTCATTCCAATAAGGCAGATGCAGATTCTCAAATTTTGTTCATGGCTTATTGAGGAAACAGCCCTTGGGCATCGCACTACCACAGACGTTGGCGTGCATTTGCACGTTAGTTGTTTTATTACACAAATAACACAAGGCAACATTTATTAAAACGTGAAATAGAGACATCATTTCGATGGAATCCGACTGGGTTTCAGAACACAAAACCTTTCCTAAATCATGAATGACAACTCTTAATAACATAAAGAGTTTAGAATTTAACTATGGGTGCCATACGAAACTGGACTGACGAAAAGACTCCACAAGATCTCGAATAGGACAAGACTCCTTACTATCAGCAGTGACCATAGATTGAAAGGAGACAGGAAACGGAGTTCTATTAGGCTTACGCTGAAGAGATCATTCAAACAAATCATAACTCAGGCCGTCAAGTGCAACCCGAATGGAGAACAACGAGTTGGGCGTCCAAGTGTGAAATGGAAATCATGTCAGTGATTCAATGATTGGAGGCAACGTGTACAACCTCATGAATGTATACAAAGCAACATGCCTTTCACCTGATGAACACAGCAAAAGTCAGATAAGCTTCATCTCTATCTCAAGAAAGTGGAGACACAGCCTGCAGGACAGAAAGTCAAGAAAAGGTGAAGCTGTGGGTTCAGATCACAAGGAACCATCAACATCAAGTTGAAAGCCTTCGAAAAAGCTGGAGATAGACCACAACTCAAGTTAAACACTCAGAAACGAAAGGACGAAACTACATCACCAAGGAAACCTCCGAGTTGAAATACCGGAGCTCTTTGAAAGTGATGCTGAATAGAAGCCTGTACAGCTGTCTGGGGAGGAAGAAGAGGCTAGACAACAAATACACCTCTCTGAATACCTAAAATCTAATAGAGGAGAGAGGGATGGCGAAACGAAGATGAACCAGTGCAACGATAGACAACCATATGACCACAGTTGAGTTCAACATACAACGCGACACGTAAAGAGGTGAAGAAGATTGCTAAGAAAGACAAATGACAATTCTACGACACATCAGAAGCTGGAGCATAACATGTCGCAAGTAAAAGAGACCTCTGGACATTCCAGCAGATAACCAGGTCGCCATCTGAGAAGAGATTAACACATATGAAAGCGATATAAGATAATGAGGGGGACGTAATCACCAAAGAGAAGAAGAAGAAGAAGCAAGAGGATTCTGACTTCACAGGACTCTTGAACCGACCACTATCTGTGGGTTGACACCAGGAATACCACCAATAGCGGGCACAGACAGAATTCCCAGTGAACACCAATCCTCCAAGGAAAGCAGACATGTTGAATCCATTGAAGTTTCTGAAAGCCAGACGAAAGGTTTGGATGACATAAGCAACACTGAACTCTGGCAGTCAGGTGACCAGCAAAGGAATTATTGCCCAACAGTTATGCTGAAGGAACTCGAGATGTATTGGAAGTACAAGGAAACTGTTGAGAGATATCACATGAGAGGTTGTTGAGTGGAACCGGAGTAGGGAGATGACGACTTGGGCGTCCGAGGGTGACATGGAGATCTCCCGACCGAAAGCTGCTACCTTGACGTGGTAGTCGGGCTTGAACACCGCAATGACCCAACAAACTATACTGGCTGGAACTTATGTTCCTGCAGGTCCTACCATGCCAGGAAGGTTGTTTGGATAGCGGTTAGACTAAAAGCAGTTACCCAATCCAATCCTATGAATTCAAATAAATCACAAAATATCATGCCGGATCGGTCGGGGCCCGGATTAACAACGACCGCGCTTTCTGCTGCCGTGTCACAGGGCAGAAGTGATAAATACGCTACTGAGACACACCAAATAAAAAAGAACAAACAAAAACAGGCCGTGTGTGACCGGCCTCAAGCAGTTGTCCCCTGGGCTCTGCGGTCACGCAACCAACTTCCACGGTGTGGGCAGCCGGGAAGTAACAATCGCCCTCACAACCCGAAGAGCAAGCGAAACCTCTCTATTCTTCACTCTCCTTTGTCTTCATCTTCATCTCTATTATCTTGCCTTCCTTCTACTAATGCAACTACTCTAATTAATGGCTCTTCACTTCCTCTTCACTCTGTGTGCACTGATAACGATGGAAGCCAAAAAACCACCATCGATAGTCTCCTAAAGCCACGTCACCAATTTCATATAGGGGCATTTAATGTTAGGACACTTTGCCAAATAGGACAACAGGCATC